GGTGACGTGGCGGGAGCCACAGTTCAGCGGCTGGAGTGAACTGAGGGTCCCGTCTCCCTGTGCCTGTGCACCCCGAGGGCCAGCAGGCCTCAGGCCTGAGTGAGAGGGTGCCCCATGAAAAGTCGGATAAGTGTTCCTGACCCGAGACAAGCGCAGGCAGAAGCCCGCAGCTCAGAGGCTGGCTCTGAACTGTGGGCTGAGCCTCTCTCGGGGTCATCTGAGAGCAAGCGCGAGGCAGTTATGATTGGTTTCGGGGCTGAGAAACGAGACAGCAGGGTGCCCATTGCTGGCTGCTGTGGGCACAGCATGCTCGCCCGCAGCCCTGAGGCGCCTCTGTTGGCTGGGGCACCTGCAGCACACCTAGGCTCAGCTGCTCAGGGCAGTGTGGGCCTGCAAGCCGGGCAGCGGCCAGGAGCGACAGGCCTCAGGGACTGCTTCACCCGAGGGGGAGGAGCCTGGGCTCTGACCTCCCACAGGTGCCTCTCCCGTGGACCCCAGGCCGGGTACCACCCAGGGAGGGTGAAGGGTGTAGCAGCACAGGCTGGGCCAGCCCCAGGACGCTGTCTTTGCCACCTTGCCAACCTTGGCTCCAGCCACAATCCCACAATCCTTGGGGACCCCCGTCTTCCAACCGCCCGCGCAACCCCAGTGTGGCCCCTACCATTGGCAGTGCCTGCCGTCACAGTAACTGGGCTCCTGCAGCTGCCCCCACCGTCTCTTGCCTGGAAGCTCGCCCACTGGCTGGCCCTGCGCTGCTGGGACCTGGGGCTGGGGCTGGGCTGAGAATGTCCCGCCTCAACCCGGGAGGGCCTGCAAGAGTGCACACGCATGGATTTAGGACAGCCTGCGATGCACTAGGACACGCTGTGCCGTAGGCTGGAGCTACATGGGAGGCCCTGGGGCGATTCCCTAAGGGCCAGGCCTGATGGCGTCTGCAGAGAGTGACAGTGGCCTGCACAGGCGGGGCTCCTCCGGGGCAGACCGGGCCCTCCGCACTCAGCAGGCGCTCCTGTGGGACTCTGCCCCAGCGCTGTTCAGCTGATGTGACCTGGTGGGCCCTTGGCGGGCCTCTAGGACCCCATGAAGTGCCTGGAACGGGGAAGCGAAGGTGTCTTCCCAGGGTCCGCTCGCTGGGGAGTGGCGAGGCCTCCAGGCCAGGCAGGGAAGCAGGCAAGTGTGGGCGAGGTGGGGTGCGCGGGCGCCTCCGGGCTGGGCAGCGGTGGTGCTGAGGGCCACAGGGCCGCACTCGCAGGGGTGCCACGGGGGGGGATGCGCTCCTGTCCCTGGCAGGGAGCGAGCTCGCAGTGTGAAGTACGAGGCGCCCAGGGTCCAGGGCTCGGGCTGCGCCCCACTCTGAGGTGAAGTCAGCCCCAAGTAAAGCAGCGGCGTTTGAGGACCTGCGGGTCATGGCGGGCTTCTGCCTGCGCTTGTCTCGGGTCAGGAACACTTACCAGACTCTTCGTGGCGGGCGTGGACACCGGCCCACGGCTGCTTACTGCCCCGGTGTCCCGGTGAGTGGTGTGCGGGTGCGGGACAGCGGGAGGGGCACGGTAACTTGCCCTGTGTCTTGAAGAAAGCTTAGGCAGTGGAAGTGAGATTTTATTGGGGGCTGGGAGGGAGGGAGGGAGGAGGTGCTGTCTCCCGGTGATGTGACCTCGGCAGGGAGGTGGGCGTTACTCTGCGCCATCTCACTGCCCACTCATGTCTGACCACCTGCCTACGGCACTTGAGCTGGGCCTGGGCGTGCGCCGTTGCAGGGTGGGGTGCTCCCAGAGCCAGGTATGGCTGGGGTAAGGAAATTTGTGAACTCCTGGCTTGGCGGGCCCTGCTGGTCCCCTCTGAAGGCCCTGAGGCAGAGCTTAGTGGCCGTGCGATGTCGCTGCCCCTTCTTACCCTGCTGCTCAGGAGGATGTGCACCCTGCCTCAGACCACCCCGGGGTGCACAGTGGACGTCCTCCGAGCCTGCCTGCTTGCTGAGGGCACGTGGGCCGTGTGCCGGCTCCCACCTCAGGTCCCTCTGGCTGAACTAGGTCTCCATGGGATGTCACACGGTAACTGAAATGGCATGGTTTGGACACACAGTGCTCCATGCACCACCCAGCACCCAGCTGTGGACGTGACTCTGAGACTCGGATGGAACTGCCATCCTTCAGCCAGGTCCCTGATCACAGCCCTTGGCCTAGGGATGGAGGCAGGAGCCGCCAAGGGACTGCTCTGTCATGGGGCACACGTTTGGGCTTCCCCTCTGAGGAGCCGGCTGCCCGCCTGGGAACACAGGGCTGGGCTCCAGTGCCAGAGCAGTGGGCACCACCAGTGAGGGCCCTGGACACGGCCCTGACAAGTGGGCGTTAGGCCATCCACCTGAAGGCAGCCCGTGCTCCATGGTGGGGTGAAGGTGCCAGGTTTGCAGCATGCTGGGGAGCCTGGGCGTCACCTCGCTCCTGGGGAATGCACTCCGAGATCAGTAACCCGTACCCCTGGAGTAAGGTGCGGAGTAGGCCTTAAACAGTGGCCGCTGCTCCCAGCCAGGATGTCCTACGGCCACACCGAATAAAGCCCTGTGGCCAGTCCACCAGTCTGGGTGGGAAACCCACATCTGGGCCTCAGCCCGCAGGCCTGGAAGAGGGTGCGAGGAGCACACGGACGTCCGAGAACTTCGTGTTGCCGCCTGGTAAACCACCGGCAGGCCCCTTCCGGCACTCTAGGGAAAGCTGGGCTCTCCTCTGCTGCTTGCTAGGTCCGGGCGGCCTGCTGGAGCCCCTAGATTGGTCCCTGCAGAGGCAGCCAGGCCTGTGGTCAAGGCCTCACACTACCCACTGTGCAACCCGGGGCGCGGGAAGGAACATGTGGTCCGTTTCAGGTCGAGGCCCAACCCCAAGGCCCATGCCACACCAGCAGAGCCCACCCCAGCCTTGCTCTTGCCAGCACGGGGCTGCAAGGTGGGGGTGACTGAAGGAGCACGGTAGCCACGGACTGGAGCATGACCTGGGGGTGGAGCCTCAGGTGCACATGATGGGGAGCGAAGGCGCCCACGGCTTCAGTAGGGGCCTGAATGCCCAGGTGGACGCTGGTCAGGGAGCTGGCCTCTGGTTTACTGTACCTGCCTGTGGCTCAGAACAAGCCCCGGGACACCTCTGAAGCTTTGCAGTCCACTGAGAAATGGGCATGCTGGGGTCTGAGCATGTCAGAGGTGCAGAGCAGATGCCTGCTGATAGACATAAAACAGGGCCTCTTGCCTTATCTAACAGGGATAGTGGCCCTTGGGGACAGGCAGAGGAGCTGGACAGGTCACAGCAGGTGAGGAGGGCCTGGGAGGTGAACCTTGAAGAACTGCACCTTGGGAGTGGACTGGTACTAGGGTCCCTGTCTTGGAGGGAGCAGATGCCCCGAGCTTCAGGGCTTCATAGCCAGGGCCATCCCCACGTCCTCTCAAAGGGTTAGGGTGGATCTGATGCTGCTGGAGCAGCAGGTGTGGCTGCCTGTGGGACTCGAAGACCCCCACCCCTGGCAGGAGGTGGCAGGGAGGGCTGGGCAGGCTGATGTCGCGGCACTTCGTGCTGAAGCCTCCCCTCCACCCCCTTGGCTGTAGGTGCATGCAAGAACCGCGTCTGCAGGGACTGGACTAGGACACGCTGCACCGAGTGGACTAGAAGCAGGCCCCTGCAAACCTGCGAGGAAACCAGCAAGCCGGGTGCAGCCCAGTGCGGCCTACCCGGAGTGGCGGTGCTCTTGGGGCGGCCGCCCCTGCCCCCCGCTCTCAGTGCCCCCTCCGGCCCCCCAGCTTGGAGCGACTGTCAGGCATGGCTCTCACACCTTGCGGCCCACGGCCTGGTCCAGGCAGGAACCAGCTCTGTTGCATCCATCAGACGCTTTATTGGGGCCCTAGGTGCAGGTGTTGGGCTGTCCACCAAGGTGGGGAGCGCGCCCACTACTCGCGGTAGTGTACCCTCTGGTGCTGGATAAGCTGGGAGCTCTGGCCGAAGGCCTTGCCGCAGGTGCTGCAGGCGAACGGTTTCTCGCCCGTGTGGGTCCGCAGGTGCCGGAAGAAGTGTGAGCGGCCACGGAAGGCCTTGCCGCAGTCGGCGCACTCATAGGGCTTCTCGCCCGTGTGGATGCGCTGGTGCTCGATGAGCACGGAGCTCCAGATGAAGGCCTTGCCGCACTGGCTGCAGGCGTAGGGCCTCTCACCCGTGTGCAGCCGCTGGTGGCGCACCAGGTTGGAGCTCTGGCTGAAGGCCTGGCCGCACTCGCCGCACTTGTAGGGCTTCTCGCCGTTGTGGATGCGCAGGTGCTGCGTAAAGTGCGAGCTGTGGCTGAAGGCGCGGCCGCACTCGCCGCACTCGTAGGGCTTCTCGCCCGTGTGCACGCGCCGGTGCTGGACGAAGCCTGACCAGCCGCGGAAGCGCTTGCCGCACTCGGGGCAGGCGTAGGGCTTCTCACCCGTGTGCACGCGCCGGTGTTTCAGCAGCAGCGAGTTGTACTTGAAGCTCTTGCCGCAGGCCTCGCAGCGGTGCGCCGGGGAGCCCCCCGGCCGGGTGCCTGGGCCCAAGCTGCCCCCCAGCTCCACAGCCCGCTCGCGGTCCCCCTCCGGCACAAGTGTCATGTGCCAGGTGCCCCGCTTCTGGGCACAGGGTGTGGCCCCTGGTGTCTGGGCGGCTGGGTGCTCGGAACTGGACTCCTGCCCAAAGCTGCCCCCACACTTGGGCCTGTGGGGGAGGCTCCTCGGCGCCCCCCCATCCCTGTCCATCCTGTCCTTGGGAACGCGCGGGTTGGGAGAGGATGGAGCCTGCTCAGGTTCTGATTCAGAATCTGAAAGGAGAGAGAACAGGTAGTCCCGGCCTGCCTGAGCAGCCCACAGGTGCTGGGGAGCTGGGGAGCTGGACCGGCCAGGAGGGCGGGGCGGGGCTGGGAGGGCCTGGCTGCAGACCCGGAGGGAGGAGGGAGGCCCCTGGGCTGTGGGCTGAGTCCCCTAGGCTCTGGAGAGGCCAGTGGGAACAAGCCTGGGGTTGACAGAGGCTGACAAAGTTCTGGAACTTCAAGAGCTCTCAAGAAGTGGCCCTGGGCCAGCTGAATCCCACACGGCTGGCTGTGCAGTTCAAATCCCAGACTCAGTGGCCTGTCACACACACCGGGCACGTGTGCTTGCATGCACAGAACCCGAGAAGCAACTGCGGGGCAGCCATGCCCACCTGGGGTGACGTCTCACTCTTGCCTGCCCACCCCCCAGCACATGCACTCTAGAACAAGCTTTAAAAAAGAGAAGTAGGTGGCCCTGGGGTTGAGGGCTCTTGGAGCTGGCCATGCCACATGAGTTAGATGGGCAAGCCCCAGGTGGAGGGTGTGGCGGCGTGGCGCTGCTCAGGCCCGGACCGGTTGCTGCTGAGCCCCCTCGGAGACCGGCCCTTGCCTGAAGAGCGGATCCTGGTGGGCCCATCTCTGCCCCAGAGCCTTCATGAGGCTGGCCAAGGCCTCGGTGGCTGCCATACTGCAGGCCGGCTCTCCACCCGCAGGCCTCCTGCCCGGGGCTCAGGATGACTGGCTGCTGATCTGGGGGTGCAGCAGAGCCCCGACTCAGAGACCCCAGCCTGAAGCAGTGTGGCTCCACAGGGACTCACACGGGGTTGCTGGGGCAGGTGGCCACGAGGGTACAGGTTGAGGTGACCTGCAGCCAGGGACAGCAGGCCCCAGACGGGCTGGTTACAGCACCGGGGATGCCCACAGGTGGGGCTGGGGCTGGGGCTGGGGCTGCTGGTCACAGTGCTTGGCCCGAGGCTACCGAGGCTGCATGGACTCACCAGGCCAGAAAGTACCTCTGCTGACCTCAACTTCCTCTATGTCCTGGAGATTGGAGTCCTTCTGAGGGAGCACCTCGGGGCTGCAGCTGGCGGGTCCTAGGGGCACAGGGAGCCAGGCTCGTCTCCCGCCCTCTGCAGGGCACCTCTCCTGCCCTCTAGAACCAGCCCGGGGCTCACCCCTGTCCTGCTGTCCCCCAAACAGCAGCCAGTGCAGTCGGGTGCCGCCGCTCATGGCTTGCCTGGCCAAGAAGGGCCTGTGGTGTCCTCCCCCTCCAGGAAGCCTCTCAAGGTGCAGCTTTGGGAGGTCAGCGCCCTCTGCCCAATCAGCAGACACAAACAGGGCAGCATGACGTGGCCCCTGTGCTCCTTGGAGTGGCTGTCCCCTCGCTGCTCTGACTGGACTCCCCTCCTCCCCGTCCTGCTGGCACTGTCCTGCCCGCACCCTGCCAGTCACTTCGGCCTGGTGGTGACTGCTGGCTCTGCACTGTCTGGACACACTCCACACTCAGCTGCCCATGGCCAAGATGGCCAATGTGACCCCTAAGAGCAAGAAGTTTGGGCAGCCGCTGCCTGGCTGCCTTGGAGCAGGGCTGGTGCCTTAAGGCCAAGGCCGTCACTAGGCCTGGTGGCGGGCCTCCACAGTCCGCTGCGGTGCTGGCTCTACGGGTGGACAGCCAGGGGCGCGCCTTCCTGGACATGCTGTGGAGTGACCATTCTGGTCCACCTCGGACCACTTTGGGAGCCAGGGGGCTGGGGCCCACTCAGGGCTGGCCTGCCCTGGCTCCAAAGTGCAGGAGTCCCTGAGCAGGTTCCAGACAGGCTGGGGTCTTCCTGCTCAGGACTCCCTGGGCCCCAAGGCACCCTAAGGAGCACCTCTCCCCACCACCGGCTCCACCACCAGCACCTGCCCAGGCCTCACCTGTCCCAGCTTCTACGCCCAGAGGGCTGCCCTGCAACCTGCCCGTGGCCAGGCCAGTTTCCACAGCCTGCTCCTTACGGCCAACCTCGTCTGCAGTCCTCCAAGCCAGGGCCCTGCTTTTTGGCTGCATGGAGAGGCTGAAACTGCTGGTGTGGCCCGTACTCTCCAGCTGTGGGGCAGAGCTCCTGGGGACTGCAGGGACCTGGTGTCTGAGAAGTGCACCCTGGCTGCCCGCAGCTGGCAGGGTGGGGTTGGGTAGCTCCAGTTCCTGTCTTGCGCGGACCTGGGGCTGTCCCGCTGTTCCCTGGCAGTGTGACCTCATGTGAGCCACAAGAGCTCAGCACTGTGGCCTGAGTACCTGCTGGTCGGTGTGCCTTTCTCCATAACCCCCGGCCCGTAAACCCACCAGGGCCAGCTGGCACCCCGCGCTCTCCTAGGCTCGCCCCAGGACGGCTCTGCCAGCATCCTGGCTGAGTGGGAGGCTCTGTGAGATGTGCAGGACACACCCTTGGGACCCCCAGGCCTGAGACCAGGGCATCCCCAGTGAGGCCCCACCTTCAGGGATGCAAGGGTGTCCTCTCCTCCCCCCCCACCCCGCAAGTCCTTTGGGGACCAGTCCCACACCAGCCTGGCTAAGGGCTCTGCACCCTTCCTGGTCTGGGAACAAGACTCAGGAAACAAGGGCTCCCAGTGACAGGGGGGGCCCAACGGTGTGGCCACATCTGCTTCCCGCCCCCAGCTCTGGAGAGGGGAGGATGCAGGCCCAGGGGCACGCAGGTGGGTGAGTACCATGGCTTTGCCCCTGGAGGTGGAGCTCTGCCACTCCGTTCTGGGCCCCAGGGGTCCTCGCTGACAAGAGGGCAGGGGACAAAGCAGGAGGGCACTCTTGATCGTCCCTCAGGGTTGCCATCTTTGCCACGACCTGAAGGGTGTGCACGCCTGCCACCTGGGGGTAAGAACGTGACAGGTGAGGAGTTGGGAGATGAGGGAGCCGGGAGGTGAGGGCGGGAAGCCCGCAGGGGAGGCGAGGGGCCCTGGCGGTTCACACAGTAAGGAGGGCCTGTTAGGGGCCGCTGCTCTCCTCCCAGTCAAGGGTCTGCAGAGACCTTCCCGCCCCGCCTGGCCCTCGGAGGAAAGCATGCCGCCTCTTCCTGGAAAACCTCCCAGGGCAGGCTGGGGCCACGGCCCGTGGGAGGGCAGACACGGGCCGTGCGTGCTGGACCAGGGACCCTGAGCTGCAGCTACGGGCTGCCCTGGATCGCAGAGGGGCGGTCCCTGCACACCCCAGCCGCAGCCGGGGCGCGTCCCGTACTTCCCCCGGCGCAAGCCTCTCCCGCAAGCTGGCCGGAATCGGGGGCGAGGAGCGCTTTCTCTGCGACACACGGGGCCCTTCTTTGGGGCAGGGAGGGAAGGAGGCGCCCGGGCAGGAAGCGCGAGAGTGAGCGTGCACTCGGTACCCGGCGCCTGCTGCAGGAGCGGGCTGGGCCGCCCGCCGGGGGGCGCCGCT